TTATTACAGTACAATCAGTAGTGAGGAATTTTAGATTTTGGGATTTTTTTTTATTAACAAACCATTATTTATATTACTCATAGGTCATTATTCTGCAGTTTCTAGACTGGGCCCAGATCACTGAAACAGGGTTGCCATCTTTGGTCAGTAGGCTGCCATGAGATATTCAATTTGAGACAAATCTGCATACACATGCACACATATTTCCATGTATGTAACAGTTTTATTACCTTGTAAAAAGTCTGTAGGGTTTGCAAACTACCCCAAGGCTTTTGAATTTATTTTGGTTTAAAATGGAATAATAAAGATTTGCCATAAGATTTCTTGCTTGAGTGCAAGTGTCTGAAAGCGTGAGTGTCACACCAGAAGTATGACATCACCCTGCTGACATGACATCACATCCTTCTGCTCCATTTTACTCCTTATCTTACTTAGGCTTTTCAGTCTTAATGTATAAGATTTAAACTTTTGTGCGTTTCTAAGTCTGAGAATGAGACCTGAGAACCATCCTTGTATTGGTTAATGTGGTAACTTACACCTGCGAGTACACATCTCATAGCTGTTCGTTCAGGGCCAGTAGGACGCCTGCTGCCCATGTGTTTTTAACATTTCGGTATGGTTACATTTTCATACATTTTCACATTAGCGCAAATTCTGACAATTCTGACGGGGGGGGTGTTCCGGGTGGGACTCTGCACCTCTGCTTTGCATTTTATTTTCTTTTGATTTTGTCAATACATCCTTAGAGCGTTAGATACTTGTGTGTGGAATTCTTCAGCGAGACCAGGATGGAAACCCTCTGGGTTACTGCCGGCAGCACGGTGAGCAGCACCACATGAAAAGGGGAACGGCAGGATAAAATGGGAACTTTATTAGGGGGTGGGACGTGTTTAAAAATCAGTCAGGGGGAGAGGGGAAAAAACAGTGATTCTGGAGTCACAGGGAACAGATACAGAAGAAAATTAAAGAGATTTTGGATAAAAATAAGGGCTACAGCTGGTAGTGGGTGGCATGACTTGAGGAATGAAGGACTCGAGGACAGGCGTGGTGGTGAAACAAAAGGGGGATTATTGAACTAAACAGGCAGAGACTAGAGATGAACAGGATCACAAGCAGTAGGATTGGCAACCAGGAAAGGCATAGGCAACAGGTAGGTCCAACGTCAATGGCCGGACTGGGGAGGATGAACCAAGCAGGGACTAACAAGGGGCACCAAGCATCAGGCGTGGCTCATCAGGGCCACATGCGGGAGGAGACAGGAGGGTCAGATGGACAGCATGTAACACTGGGGTCATCTATGCACCCACCCCCTATCTTACAGTCAAATACAATCAGATTTTTCTGAGTTGCTTGAAGCACTA